ACTTACATGATTATATTCCAATTTTTATTACTAAAATTAATATTATATTGAAAGATAAATGATAAAATTTTCTATCATAAATTTGATAGCATTATATTGGTTAAATTAAAAAAATTATTTTATTATTATTACTATTTAATGTTATTATTATTATTATATTTATTTTATTTTATTATCATTATTATTGTTGTTGTTTATCTAATTAATTAAAATTTTGCTCATCTTAAAAGAAGAAGTTAGATCTTCTCCGGTATACAATCATCATATATATTACTAAAGATAATTTTGTTTTTTGTATGAAGTAATTGATATCCATGAGTTGCTCAAATAAAATATATTTATTTTTTTTTTCATTAAATCAATTCAAATTCAAATTCAAACCAACTCCTCTTAGAGCCCAAGATTGCAACTTTATTTAAAATTGAGTGTGAGAATATATACTATATAGTTACTCCTGACCTGACAACTCCCATCCTCCTCGTTCCTTACGGTGACATGCCAAGTTCCCCGCCGGCTGCCGCCGAAAGCCTCTCCGTTGCCGGCCCACATATCCCAAGCCTCCATCTCGTCCTCACCGGCGCCGACGTAATCCAAAGACACCACCTTTTCCCCAAACCTCACATACTTCAGCAGATCAAACCGGCGAGCATAAGACTCGAGGTACTCCACCACCTGCTTGTGGTCAGGGAAGATTTTGGTCAAATTCTCCGGCCACGGAAAGTCGGAATACTGGTAGTCCAGTGGGGAAGACTGGAGACGAGTCGACGGAAGAGTTCGGGCCCACACGCCTCCGACCACCCGGTCCGACTCGAAGAGAACTGGATGGAAGCCTTTTTGGGCCAGGTATTTGCAGGCGGCGAGGCCGCTGACGCCGGCGCCTACAATGCAGACCTTCTTTTCCTCCATTTTTTTAAGGAATAATTACTATGGCGCCACGCTCTTTATATGTACAGGAAATTAGGATCTGCTAAAGCTCCAAAACCAACTCCTTACAAATATATATATAGGTTCATGCGCTGTTCATTAGGCAGTTTGGGTGGTTAACAAATTCATTAAAATTAGGGGGACTTTGACAAATTAGCGAGAATTCAATTCCTCTTGTTCAAAATAGAAGAGACAACTACGATGTGTAAGAACTGTATATGTATAGTCAGTTTTTTAGTTGTATGGAGAATGACAATACATTGAGAGGATGATAAATAGTGAAGATGAATTTAGTGTGTTAAGGAGGAATGTCTGTTGGAAGGGGACAGCCAGAAAAATGAACAGAAGATGTTGATGAATAATTGGTCAATGCTGGACATTGATCGTGTTTTTATGGCGGATTTAGGAAGCTGAAAAATACGAGTTTTTCTTATAGTGAGGTGCAATATGTATATCTACCATGTTCATATGCATATCGTGTAGTATTTAGGTTATGTGTGTATCTCATGTCATGTATCTAATGTATGTGGGCTCTGAAAATTCGCATATCGGCCTCTCTTATGTTTTTGGGAGAGTTTTAACGAATTAGATTTCGAGATAAATTTTCAGAAGGAAGATTAGGTTTGAAATAAGACATTACACAAAGATTTCACCCTTATTTTGCGAGGACTTTATGATATGAGATTTGGTTATCTTTATACGTAAGCCCTTATAGTTAATTACCCCTCCCGATAACGAGAGGGAACTTTTGATTAAGGCTAGTTGTCAAATGAATACATCGTATCCATGGATACATGATATCCAACATATAATAACAGCATTGGTATTTAAAATATAAATTTCATCATCTTGCACTAAAAGCGCATAGTGGGGGAATGGATGATAGACCCGATAAATATCCTATGGTTCCGTTGTCCCGTGCCATTGTGGTCCCTAGTCTACTTAGTTAGAGGAGATAGTCGACCCAACTTGGCCGAATGATCCTTGTCGATAGCCATAGGTTGCGTCGTCCAATGATACCTTGTAGACTTAGGGGGAATATTCGTCTAAGATGATAAATTTGAATCCACCTTAGCTAACAGAGAGCTTTGTGCCCTATTAATCATATCCTATTGATTCATATCTTAAGGATTTAGTGCGATTGGGGAGCATACGGGCTCTGGTCATGGAGCAATTATTAGGTCCTTTCACTGGATGTAGAGGAAGGTTCGGTTTTAGGCAAAAATAGGTCAAAAAGTGCAAATACCGAGTTTTTTCAAAAAACTAAAAACTCGGTATTTTTTCAAAAAACTCGGTATTTGCACTTTTTGAGGCAAAATCGAATCTTCCTCTAGGTCCTTGCACTGGACCAAATAAAAGTTTCTGGTCATGACCATAATTTGGTGATGCTATTTGGCGGTGAACCACCCAATCATAACCGTTTAACTGTGGTGTCATTTGGCGGCAAAAATGCCAATTAGAGGACATGTGTCACATCCTTGCTGGTTAGAGACTATTTGAAAATGAATCATATTGAAATTCTCTACCAAACATTAGCTCTTTGTGAGTTGAAATTATATATAAATTTGTCAATCTTGATAAACTGTTGTGAATGGTATAAGAGTTTTACTTTAAGATTTTGATGATTTATTTTAGATTTAAATATTTGGATCTTAGTTTTTTTTTTAAGCTTTGTATTTCATGGTTATTTGGGTGGCATTTCAATATTTGGAATTAATCCCTCAAGTTGAGATAAACATCGAATACAATCATCATCGGGGTATTCATGGACAATTGTATTTCATTGATTGAACTTTGTCGACTCTGTCTACTTGCCGACAGAGGATCGGGTTCTTCATAGGTTGTATGCCTTTATTTAGTGAATTTTTTTCTTTGTAGGCTTTGAATGCCTAATATGAACATATAAAACAAACATCCTGATCGATAGTGTGATTGTACGTTTATTTGATAGTTCGAACCGTGTGGATTCATATATACTCGCATAAAGGATCGTGCTTGAATTTAGATTTATCATTTGACCCGCGCAACATCCTAAGACGTCATATGTATACTCATAACATGCTCGTCGGGGTCTATGCGGGTATTTAGGGGGCATTTGAGAATTTCATTTTGTTAATTGAACCTTGCCTATTATGTCTATTTGTTGAAACAAGATCGAGTTTGTTGTATGCTTTATGCCTTTATTTAGTGAATTTTCATTGTTTATAGGCCTTGAAGGCATAATATGAATAAATTAAAATAAATGTCTCGATCAACGCCATGATTGTATATTTATTTGATAGTTTGAGCCATGTAGACTCATATATATTCACATAGAAGAATCTAGCTCAAAATTAAATTTATTATTTGACGAGTGCATCATCTCTAGATGTCAGATTTATACTCGTAACACGCTTGTCGGAGCTCATACGAGTATTTAGATTGTACTTTTATAATTATCTGTTGAACCTTATCGGTTATGTCTACTTACTAACAAAGGATCAGGTTCTTCGTAGGTTTTATGTCTTTATAAGTGAATTTTCATGATCACAGGCCTTGAAGGCCTAATATGAATGTATAAAACCAAATATCTTGGTCCATACCGCGACCATATATTTGGTCATTAGTTCAAGTCGCATTAACTCATGTCCTACTGAGGGGGAGGATTTAACTTGAACTTAAGTTCATCTTTGACTAGCACAATATCTTTAGATGTCAGATTTATACCTGTAACACGCTCACTAGGGCCCATACTGATATATGATTGCACATGCATTGCTTTGTGTTTGTCTGTATACATATTATAGTATATATGTTGGGACATTCTCAATTTAGAATGTTTAGTGTTGATTAGTTGTGTGAAAAACTTCCATTTGAATGTGTGTGATGCTCCATTTTAGGAGTTTGTAGATGCCTTATGTCCGCTCGTACGAGTATTGTGAATCCGGTGGCATAGCGTATTGCCTTCTGTCTGCTTGTTCAAGTGTTGCAGATCTGATGGCGTGGCATCGCACTATGGTTTCCCACTGCTTTGTAAATAAAGATTGTTGTGCACTAATCAGTCTCCTACAATGGCGTGTGGATAATTGTACTCATTATAGTTATCTTGCATTTTGCTTGTGAACAACACATTGGATGAATAACGGGTTTTCTACAACAGCTCGTAGGAGCTTGCTTCTGCTGCATATTATTCATCTCCGCTCGCAATGGATTGATGTATTTGTGCGATTGAGTAGCTGTCAATATCAAGGGCATTGTAATATTAAATGCTTGTTGATGTTAATTGACGCATAAATTCTAATGTGTCTGTTGCACGTTGCTAGCTATCACTCGTAGGTGGATTGTTGTGTAAATGAAGAGTTACCTACAGTTGCTCGAAGGGACTTATATGCATTTACTAGATGCTCGATTGATGTTGACCACGAAAATGTCTTTGCAATCGTTTCATATCCACTATTATCATTTGCGAGTATTTCTTCCAATTTTATTGTTTGCGAAGCCAAGTAATTTTTCTTGTAATTTGATATTGGCAGCAAAGTGTTATCACATTTAACATATGTCCTTAGGATTCATTGCGTGTTGGTCATCGTCATTTGCGAGAATTTGAAATATATTCGTTTACAAATTAACTAACATTGATGACAAGGGAACTAACTTCTTCACAACCTCCATGTTTTGCTTTCCTGGATGGTGCACTCGTCAAAAAAAATTTGTTGGTGAATTATTATATTCATTATATGCCACTTACCACCTCCTCTAAACAATTCTTTATGCATAATGTGACTCTTTCATCACATTGTTAGTTGGTTCATGATACGAGTGATAACATCTTCATTGTTGCTAATTGACTTTGGCGTTTTAAATGACATAGCTTCCATGAATAAGCTATATTGTTCGTTAAGGAGTTTGCATTTGAGGTTCATAAGTAACTCGCATTTGGAATTCTCTGCCCATCACGAATTCCAAATTTGCTTATTTGTGTTCAATTATTCATTAATTGGTAAATTATGGATTCAATTTCTTTTGTTTGTTTAAGTTCAATTTATTACTTTAGGTTATGTTCCTTGTAGCTCATTCAAGTGTTCAATTCTCTGTTATTTCGCTCAAGTTCAAGTTCCCTGTGATACAAATCAATTCATCTGTCAATTGTTCAAGTTTTGTTCAAATTATTTGAGTTTAGTTCACGTCCAAATCAATTCTTTTACGTTCTTTCAAGTCTCATGTACTTATTCATTTTCTGTTAGCCGTCAGTTCGAATTTTGGCAACCTCCCGACGTCTCCCCCATTTAGGAGAAATTTCAGAAGTCTGGATCATCCCACCACGCTACGAGAGTGTGTATGAGTCTTCTAGGTATCTATTTGAAAACGCGCAAAAGGTTTCCCCACCACGCTATGAGAGAGTGTACATGTACTTAAGAATATCTCTGTCACGCTATAAGAGCGTGTATAAGGCTTACTCGCCTCACTGTAAATGTTGCACCGGGCTCCCTCCCACCGTGCTACGAGAGCACGTATAGAGGGTTCTCCGGCTCGCCGCAAATGTTGAAAACTAAATTTTTTTAATTTAGAAATTATACCTGAGCTATGAGGGATGTGACAGTGGCCATGACGACGACCAAAATATACAAAATATGTATTTTTTTTTAAAGCAACAATGCTGGAAGATTACAATTCTTAAGGTTTACTATTTGAAACACGATTGCTTATTGGATTCATGGGTCTATTATACCTAAAACCATTATTAAGCAAATTGATAGGCTCTGTGCCAAATTTCTATATTTTGGAGACATATCTGGTCGTAAGTTGCATTTAATATCCTGGAGAAACACGTGTAAACCTAAAGCCGTTGGTGGGCTTGGCCTTCAGTCCTTACTTTCTGTTCAGTTTAGTTATAACTGCTCTCTTATTGAAAGGTTCTATAATGTCAGCAGTCTCATCTCCACTTGGTTTTTCTATAACTATGCGTCCCCTTGGAAACCGCCTGTTTCCAAATCTTCTATTTTCTGGAAAAATTTAAGTGTGACTGCCCGGCTAGCTAAAGAGAACTATCATTTTAAGGCTTCCTTTAATGCTCCTATAGCTCTCTATTGGGATCACTGGTTTTATGATAAATGTTTGTATGAGAATAGTGATATGCAACCCATATTAAGTTTCTATCCTAACAATGTTAGTATTTCTGCCATCTTAAGTGATATTGGCTGGGTGTTGCCATCGAGTTTGTCTGATACTATCTCTCAAAAACTCACTACCATTCCTGTTAATTTGAACCCTCAAGGTTGCTTAGTTTGGGGTAATGATAAAGGTGGTTCTCACAGTTCTTATCTTAATTTCTTTTACAAGGATCTCCCTATGATTAACTGGAACCAATTTGTTTGGCAAAAGCGTTATGTACTAAGATTCTACTCTTATTGTTGGATGGCTTTGAATGGTGGTATGACAATTGTTGATATTCTTCGGTCTAAGGGTATCATTGTGGACGGGGCCTGCCCTCTTTGTAATTGGGTTGCTGAAACTATTTCACACTTGTTTTTCGAATGTGATTACTCCTTCACTATTATCTCTATGTTGATCCCTGCTCTTGGGGTCCTTCCGCTTATACCAAATATTTTGCAAGCTTTTGAATGCATTGTTGAGATCTCTGCTAGGAAGAAATACTTTTATTATCTTTTGATTTGCTGCTCCATTTATCATACTTGGAGGGAAAGGAATAATAGGAAATTTGGCAATTGTTTTCCTTCTTCTACTATCTTATGCCATAAAATTAAATCTGCGGTTTTCTCCAAAGTCCTGAAATGGAAGCATGGGAATTCTCTTCTGGATATGTAGTCTTTTTATTGCCGTGGTGTGGACAGTTTGTCTGACCTGTTGCTGCCTGGGTTGGCTCGGTTTGGAGGACAAGGATGATGATTTGCTTTTGTCAGTTTATGCCATCCAGTTATGGCTTTTGACGGTTTTTGGAGGGCAATGATGATTGAATTGCTCAATTTGTCCCTTTGGATGGAAGTATTTTTGGTGAGTTGGGTATTCTGCAACCAGGCTGATAGAATGTAGCAATTCTTGAGCCCGTCGGCGCTTTCCCTCCAATCTTTCATTGGAGGTTTTATGTTAGCTTTTTCTTTCTCTTTTCATACATGTATTTTTTTATATCAATGAAAACTGGCTAAGCCCATAATTTTTCCCAAAAAAAAAAAAAGCAACAACTTTTTCTGGCCCAGCAGATGCCTGCAAATCTGGGATAGGCTAAAAGACCTCCTGGTTGCTTCCATTTCAAGATCCTCTGTTCCATCAAATACAGGATCCACTTCGTTCTCTTCAGGAAGGACTTCATATTCTTCTGTTTGGTTCAGTTTAGTGGTATTCTCATCCTCCAAACAATCAAACACATGAGCCAGGTGCACTAATCCAGCTCCATCATTCCAGACTAAGCTCGGATTTTCTTTACTGTATAATTCCCCTTCAACTTCTCCCTGGTAATCAAATATCTCATTTTGGCTATTTTCTGAAGTCAATGAGCTAGCAAAATTTCCCTCAAAATTTAAGGTGCCATCTCTGCTTTCACTTTTTTTTTGTTTGTTTGTTCTGAACTTGGTATGTTGGGCGCTACTTCCTCATCTGTGCATTTACCTTCACTTTCCATTATATCAACAGTGATCTAAAAAATATTTCAAATCTCCAAAAAAAAAAAAAAAAGCGATATCTGTTTCGGACATCGGAGATGCAATGCTGATATAGAGGAATCAGGAATGGCGGGTCAAGAAAAATGAGATCTGAGCAGGGCCCTACTTCACGTGAGATTTCACATACGTCCTAGCAAACCACGGGGCATGGAGGGTAGGGAGGAGACGGACATCTTGCGGTAGAGAGGATTTCATGAGGCTGTGAGGCTGGACGGAGAGGTCGGGAGGTCGGAGTAGTGCTGTTTGCGGCAAGGAAGGGTTCACGAGCAGTGGAAGAGGACTCGACGGGGTCGGCCTTGTTGGATATGTGCGGTTCTGATGAAGAGGGGCGGCTAGATCGTGGATTTCGAATAGAGCATGGAGGTCGGAGGCAGTGGGATTAGAAGCAGGTCGGCAAACTGCAAATGACGGATTGATGGCTGAAGGGCGACGATAGGATCGGCTATGTGGAGGATTCGAATGGCTGCTGGAGTTTAGGGTTTAGAAGAAGAGCTATTAGCAGGAGATGGATGCGGGAAGCTTTCCTACGTGAGGGAGAGACGTCGAAGCAGAGATTTCGTAGACTCGCGTGAATGGGAAACGAACGAAGTTCTCACTTGCCTTCGTTTTAACGACGACGGTTCATTTGATGGAGGCGAGCTGCGATCGAGAAGCCGATTTCGCGCTAGGTGACGGCGTGTTCAGCTCCGAAGGATTTCAGCGACAGTTCTTGAGAAAAATCCGGAGATTTGAGAAGGGTTCGACGCAGGATCCGCGGATTTGAGCAGGACTTCGACGACGTACAGGTAAGCATTAGATGTGAGTACGTATGCATTATAATTAATAAATATATTTTTATTTGTTTCTCAACTAATTGGAAAATGATTTCCAGTTCTAAATGAAGATGGAGAATTATGAGGCTATCATTGATACCATCGATGGTAATAAGAAAAGAAATTTATATGATTAGGGCATCTCCAATTGAAAATTTCGATTTTTTACTTCAAAATGTCGTGAAACTAAAAATTGTGGTGATTCGTCTCCAATCGAACTCCATTTTGCCTCGTAACGGTCATTCTCTTCTTTCGCACGGTTCTTCGACAATTTCGGTAGAGACCAAAAAAATGACGAAGATGAACAGTGCAACGCCAACATTAACGTCGCACTGTTCATCCGTGATGAAATAGTGTAAAAATTGCCGCTCGGTTGGAGCGACGGAAAACAACAAACAGCCATTAGAGATGCTCTTAGCCTACTCATAACACCAAGAACATCAAATTAATCTATCTCTCTCTCTCTCTTAGCATCTATTTCTGTTCCTCTATAAATAAATAAAATTATGGTCAAGCAGGATGACATAATAAACATTAAAAATATTTAAATAATATTTAAATAATAATATTTAAAATTATACAAAACTAGATTTTAAATTTTTTTGAATTTATTTTAAGATAATTATGATACATAAATAATTATAAATTTTAACTTTTACACTAAAAAGTTATTTTAAAAACAATAAGAAAGCCATCTCAAACAAAGCACGAGAAGAACTATTGAAGATTTATTTACTTAAAAACTATTACAATCTTATTTATTTACATATCTTTATTTACTTAAGAACTATTAACCTTGTCACAGTTTTCAGTAGAGTTGAGAAGACCAACCTTATTTATCTTAACATGCAATCCATCGATAACTCTCCCTTTACTCATCTTAAGCTGTCTTCACCACAACAACTTAAACTTCAGTGTTGCTGTCTCCTGCTAATATTGTTGCATCTTCTGCTGCAGCCTTCTCCTCAGACTCTCTCTCGGCGTTCTCATCAACCTTGTAGTATACCTGCAATAAATAACATAATTGTCTCACTGATTTCAGGATTCATAGGGAGGGATTTTAAATAAGAAAACACATGAACTTTATAAGATACCACACTGGTGCGAGCTGGTGCTAGGACTCTGAATGAGTTTGGTCGGTTGTTAAAATTTGTTTCTGGTACACCTGGTATGCCTTCTGGGCTTGTAAAATGATCCACGTTATGGCCAACCTGCCAAGTGAAAATAAATAAATAAATAGGAATTCTAGTTTAGATATGATTATATTTTTGGCAAAACTAAAATGGCAGAAAAACATCAACTCATATCTAAAAAAATAAAAGATTTGTTTTCCAAAAATTGAGATTTACTGCTTCTTAAAACAGATTTTTAGTATAAAATTTTTAATTTTTATAAAAAAACTGCTTTAAGAAGCAGCAAGAAAGCTGCTCCAAACGAAGCCCGAGTGTTATAGGAGCGTGACCAATCTGTGAGAGAGTGAATAGAATGCAAAGAGTTGGCAATGAGATCCTTCTAAGAAAAAGGCAAAAACGGATCATTAAAAGGATTTATGATTGGGAAGTGCTGACGAAGATTATCAATGCTGATGGATAATATTGAAAAAGACAAGCGATGGAGATATCAACGGAGCATTAACCGAAAGTATTGACATAAAGCGTCAATGAAGAGTAATCATAGAAACTTTGAAAAAGAGATCAATGAAGCCATCGATATAACTTTCACGCCACCTGTTAATGTGAGTTTCTATCGTTAAATAAAGGTTGTAAGTAATAGTAGAATCTTTGAACTTATATCATTTCTTCATGTCCATATTCAATATTAAATCATGAGGGGTTTACGGACCGCCAAGCGCATTCGGCGAAGCCGGGCGTGGCAGCGGACGGTTCCTCGTCACCAAAAAAATTAAAAATCATGAGGTATGGGATGTTAAGAGTCATTTCAAGTACGATTCTAAATAATTTTAAAACCACTCTAATTAAAAATGTTCTTAGAGAAAATCCTGATGGGCATTTTGATCCAAAATTTTAGACAAATCCAAGGTTTAAAATTGTGTGATTATTGACGCGCTTTTCATCTAGGAGATGAGGCATAAGCCTCAAGGTGTTTTGAAGTGGAAGCTTCAATATCAAAAAATTACATAAATGAAAATGAATGAGAAATTTTTTATATATATAATAACTAAATAATATATTAAAATAAGATATATTAAAATTTTATTAAACTATAAAGTAAAAAATTGACATACATATGAAACTAAAAATTGCACAAGACATAAAGTGGCAATTGATAAATTATGTGAAATAAAATTAAAATGCAAACATCACAACAACAAAAGAACATAAAGTACAAGATTGTGTAAAAGTAACATATGACATTAAGTTCAATTCCAAGTTTCTTCTTTCCTAATTCCCGACTCATCCACACTTAATTACTAAAGAACACAGTAATAGTATGACAACTCAAAAGTCAACTACGTTGTCATCACTAAGGGGTCTTCATTTGAGTCATCATCGCAACGAATTGTTGTCTTTCCAGTCTCACTCATAGAGTCTAATGTCTCTCAATCTACTTCATCTTATTTATTTTAGTCATATTTATCTTCCTTAAACATTTGTCATCAACATAAAAATGAATAATACTCCAAATTAAATAAGATTTAAAAATAAATTCCTTTTATATACCTTTTCTCTTGAACTTTTTCTTTGTGGCTTGTGATAGACGCATATTCTTTGTTTTTTTCACCATTGTTAGTGTAAAATTTATTATAAATTATTTTTTTTTTTTGCTTTAAAGTTGCCTCACTTGATTTTGTGCAAGAAAATTCATATAAAAAACATGAAAAATGAAAAAATCCTCAACGTCGCGGTGCCAGACTTTGGAGCATCGCAACATTCAAGGTCAAAATGCGACTGAAGATTGAGAGCAACAACGTGCAACTCACCAGCACGACAACGCCAGTTCGCCACGATGCCACAAAGCTGACAAGGCCACAACACCAAATTACCAAAGCCCCACAAAGGTGCAATTAATTCATGTACTTTTAGGTAACGACGCGTTGATTCAGTCAGAGTGCAGCAACAAAGAACTTCATGAACGCCACAACTTTAGTTTATTTTAGGAACTCCACAAGGATACCACTATCAGCATCATGGCGCCATAGCGAGTTATGAGTTTTTTTATATAAAAAGTATAGCCGAATTATTTGAGGGGGATAGCCAATTTATCACTTGTACTCAGTCCTAAGTAGGGTTCAGTAGTAAGAAGAGTGTGTGTAAGCAAAGCAAAGAAGATCAGTGGGCAAGGAGTCCATATTACTATTGCAAGACAAATCTAATTCTATCATGCCTTCAAACTCTTAACTTCTATTTGTGTTTTTATTTGTAATGAAGGTTGCTCTGTTTATTTTAATTTCCATGTCAGGCTAAATCTATTTATGGGCTTATGGTATGTTGAGAATCCATGTTTACATAGCTTAGATCTAAGTTCTTTGAATAGTACAATGCTATTTCTGGTTCTTACTGTACAGCAACAACAACGTCAAACCTTTATCCCAGTACGTGGGTTGGCTACATGAATCTTTTTTTCTCCATCGTGTTATATGTTAAGAGTCAAATTCTCATTTAAATATAATAAATAAATGTCATTTCTAATACTTTCTAATCAAGTTTTTTTAGGTCTACCTCTACTTTTCTTAACATAAGCAAAATCAAATTTTCCTAAATGGATCATCGGAAGTGCTAACCTCTAGGTAAAGAACAAAAAAAAAAACAGCTTACCTCGTATATTATCCCGTAAATCCCGCCGGGTTACTGTGCACTCGGCGCCGCTCACGTCGCCTCCCACGAATCCTGCGATCTGCCTCGATCATCGCCTTCTTATGTTAATAAAAGGGAGCCGAAGAGGAGAGCTCCGACTGCTTCTTCCCATTCGCAAATCCCACAACATCCTCTCCCGAACTCCTCAATCCAACCCTAGCCTGCCTTTCCTCCTCCTCCTGATCCCGTCAAAGCCGCAGAAACTCTAGTCTGATCCTCTAGATCTTGCCGACCTCACCTCTTGTTGCTCTAGCCGACGCCTCCGACCGACGAAGCCAAGGCCAAAGCCAGACGAAACCTCCACTCCACTTTACATCTCCTCCCACGGTGAAGCCAAGCCTCACTCCGACCCCAGGCCCGACTGCACCTCCCGATCCCGATCTCTTTGAGCAGCAGAGAGAGAGAGAGAGAGAGAGAGAGAGAGAGAGGGATTGCCGGCCTACCTCCTCTTGCCGACTTCGCCTCCCCCGAAGACGTCTCCTTCCCGATCGAGAGTCACGACATTTTGATCGGGACACAAGAACGAGAGCTCGCTCGTTTTGAAGGTAACTTTCTCCCTTCAGCTCGCTTCTTCGGCCAAATCCCCTTAAATGGCCAAACTGAGAGGGTGAGGGAGAGAGATTATTACATAATTATAATTTTTTTAATTAAAATTAATTTATTATGATTAATTACAATTAATTTTAATTAAATTAATTATAATTAACTCTATTAATTATAATTATTTTTAATTAGAATAGATTTTAATTAATTATAATTTATAATAATTAATTATTATTAATTATAATTTATTAATCATAATTTATTAAAATTAATTAATGTTTATTAGTTATAGTTAAAGATAATTATAACTAATTATTTTAATTAATTTTAATAAGCTATAATTAATTATTTTTAATTAATTATAATTATTAATTAAAAATAATTATGATTAATAAATTAATTATAAATACTTAACGCCAATTATAATTAATTTTGAAAGAGAAAGAGAAATGCTTCTCTCCCTTCCCTCAATCTACGCGCCAAGGACCTCGCGCAGGTATAAAATTCCTAAACCCTAGAACTTTGAAAAACCCATTTCCGGTGCTTGCAACGCGGCGAACAACCACCTATGCACGCTTTTCTCTAGCGTGGTTGGAGGGAATTCGTTGCGGTGCTTGCAACGGGACGAGTAATCAAAACCCCATTTTCGGCGTTAGTGTCGGACCGGAAAACTAACTCATGCACGCTTTTCTCTAGCGTGGTGGGAAGGGAACCC